CTTTATTTAACCAATTTGAATGCTCAAAATGGTTCATGAATTGTATCTTTTTTACATACTTGGCTTCATTCACATTCAGAACTCTTCCTTCTGGCGTGATCAAAGTCCGCAGAGGTTTCTCTTTGTTTCCTTGTTCTCTGTTTAAAAGAAGAAGAAAAAAAAGTTTTTTAAAAATATATTTTCTCATCCCTTCTTCCACTTAGCAAAGACAGCAGCAGAAAGATGACAAAGCCTTCATTTAATTCTTGATTAAGACAGAACACAAAAAAATCCCATTTGCTTTAATGCGTTGAAAGAACCCTGATGCGATGCCTTATTTTAAGGAAGCAAATCAAATATAATCAAGACAATGATGATGGCTCCTTCGGCTTGTTTGATCCTTGGGTACCAAATTCCTATCTGAAAAGAGATGCTTTCTCATCCCTTGCAACGTCTCTCTAATGTTTGCTACTTTAAAGGTGTAGTTTTAATTCATTTCTAAAATAATCAGCCTGTTTGAAACCTTCTTTTTACAATTGTACAAATATACAGTATATTGTAAACACATATTTACAATATAAAATCCACAAAACTTGCTCTATGGATGCTATTGTAACAAAAGCCTCCTGCTTGATTCTAATTTTACTGGACAATTGGGAGGAAAAAAATGATTTCCACAAATTTCTGCGATGTGGGATCCATTTCGATCTTTTAATAAAATCAGATGCTGATGTGACTGAAGTCTGGTCCATAACAGAACTGAAGCTAAGATAAGGCTTAGTGGATTATGTGAATCCTGGCCACTGCAGTGCATGCAATAAACCATAATTGAACAACTTAGTACAAGCTGCAAATGCAGTCATTAACATCTTAGGGGGGGAATGGGCCATTTCAGAAAGGATGTTAAAGATAAGGCTTCAGGTAATATGACTTTGCAGTAATTCACAATTGCCCTGCTTCTCAAGAAATAAATATTAAAATAAGACATTGGATTAGATCTATCATCTCTGTCTATTTATCTGTCTGTCTGTCTGTCTAGATCTGTCTATCCATCGATCTATCCGTCTGTCCGTCCATCTAGATCTATCTATCCATCTATCCACCCACCCATCTCTACCCATCCATCCATCCACCCACTATCCATCCATCCATTCATCATGTATACCCTCACCCTAAACCCTCACAGCTTCAACCTTAAACTGTCTACCATGGACCTCACCCCATTTATACCCCTCAGATAGGGTTCGTAACTTAGGAGTCCTCCTGGATCCACAGCTGACTCTCGATCATCATCTGTCGG